GGGCAAGTAGCTGGGCTGTGTTTAAGCACAAAGTTTACTTGCCCAAGGTCCATGCCTGGGCAGAGGGTGCCTCAGTAGAGACCCCAGATGGGACTGGTCAGGGTAGTTAGGACCCACTGGTGCACTCGGGCCCCTGAGCAGGATCCCTACTCCAGTGGGTCGCTTTCAGTGAAAGTGAGTTTTTTATTAATAGCATGTGCTACAAATGAATGTGCCAAATTCCACTTATGCTGGAATAAGTATAGGCACAGAACTAGAATCTGCTTCAGGCTGATTGAGCTACAGTCCTACCTTCTTGGTCCTTACATGAACGTTTCTACAGTATATAAAAATTATGCTAGTTTAACTACTTTTTTTCTGAAAAAGACTAGGTACTCCAGGTGGATGTTGCACCATTTAGGAGGCTTCCTCCAGTCTAGTAATTGCTGAGATGAGTTTATACAATAGGAATGAATTTGCTTCATTTTTCAGTTTAGCCTCAAACATTAGGTATCACGGATAGGTTTTCTAAGTATAACATGTCAGTAGTCAATAATAAAAAATAATTCTTAAGCTACTGAATTTGAAACATGATATTTTAATGCCTTTAAAATATATTTATACATCCATATTGCTTTTCAGGTTGTCCGTTACAGGACACAGATATGAGTTTATTTAACTTATTCACATTCAACTGTAGAAGCATCAAGCATTGCAGCATGTTGCAAGTTAACCTAAACTATCAATTTATCAATCCTATCTGTGGTCTCAGTCAGACTTGAATAGAGCATCCCCTCTCCCTTTTTCTCCATTAACTCTTGCTTTTGTAGTGCATTTTTTAGGATGTTCAGCTCAAACTTTTAGGAAAGGAAAGCAAATCTAGACTTGCACCAGAATGCAGAGAAGACACTGCCTTTCAAAAATGTTTATTATTGGATAAATTCACACACTTTTCCCCATCTTCAAAGTCTATCAGACTTTTCTCACTCTCTCAGCATTCTTGCTTATTAGAATTCCTGGCTGGAAAATACCATGAGTTCTAATATGGAGCAGTAGGATAACAGGAAGATACATAAGAACAAAAATAGAACATTTTGATACCTTGCTTCCTTCAGGCACTAGAGCAAACTGCAGAGTTTCCCAGATTCTGTCAAACTGCCAACACAGCACAATTAACTGAGGACCATCTGATAATGAGGGAGTCTGCTAACCCAATGGAAGATGCAATTCCAAACATTCTCATTAACAGAAGATTAAATGAGCAGTACTGAGCTGGTGTATCTTCTCCATCACTGTAATTTCCATTCTACAGATGCAGATGTTCATGTGTCTGGAGAAAAGATGGGAAACAACACTGGGTACTAGCTTATTAACAGCATCATGCTTCCTAGCCAGAAAAGTGTACGTGAAAATAGAACAGCTTTTAGTTTGTAAACCTTCCATATCAAGCTCTAAAAACACTGACGATTCATATAAACTTGGGATTAGAAAAGCAGATATTTTCATTCTCTGAAATGCTGGAGACTCATGACTGCTCTGACAGAGAAGCAAAGGTCTCACCGACATCCTCTCCAGATGCTGCAGATCAGGCTGCTGGAGACATGTAGCTACTTCATGTTTAATGCAGAAAAGGAGTGGTAACTAAGAAAAACAGCAGCATCCCTATTTCAGATCTCATTGTTCTTAATGCCAGAAGAACAAAACTTCATTTCTCTGTACATGCAAGGCTCTGCCTGAAAATGAGAGTGATTTTCCCAATTTTTTGTATTCCAACATATTAGTGCATTTTGTTGCAGACAAGCCAAAGACCTATGATTAAGAGAGTGTGAACTGATCAACTCAAATTCTTGAGCTGCTGCCAGCTTCTCATGTGACTACAACTAGCTCTTAAATAGATCCTTAAACATGTATTTTCATAATAAGGGTGCAGTTGTTAGCACACAGCAATGGTAGCAGATTGAGCCAAAGAGTAGGAAAGTCCTTTATGACTACTTTCTTGTGTATTAGTAGATATGTTTTTTTCCCCCAGATAAGTAAATCTTTCTTGGGCATTCTCTGCCTTATCCACGCTGGCACATAGAAACAGTTTTAGGATAAAGAATCCAAGCCACAGGTACTGTGATCTTTAGCCTCTTGAAAGGGAGGGGATCTGGATACGCTAGAGAAAAAGGTCTGAGGGATGAGCATGGTTTTTCAAACCTTGGCTAAGAAATGCACATACTGAAAAAAAATGCTTGTTTATGATGGATTGTTTGCTATAGAGCTGGAGCAAAAAGGGTTAGTAAAAGAACCCTGCAGGGAAGATATTGCAGTAGATTCACGCAGTGAGGATGGGTTTTCTCAGTATTAGATTAATAACGTGGTAAGCTAGTTCCCCTCTTCTGCTCCTGATAACCTGGTGGTTATTTTACCAGTGCTGAGAACTCTTGTGATCTGAAGATGCTTTTCGGTTAAAAGCTGTCCTAACAGAGAGATACATGGTGAGAAAAATATATGCACAGTGCAAAATATGTGCATAATTGGACTCAAGGAAGTGCTAATCTAATTAAAGGTTTCTGAGCTGAAAATCTTGCCTACTTTTTCAATGATTTTATTTCTTGCTGCAAATCTTGTTCCTTTATGTCCTTAGACCGTCAAAGTTACCACACACTGCATTGCAAGTCTTGGTATGTCAAGATATTCTCTATTTAAAATCAGTTTTTCAAGGTTTTCAAGTGTTTTTTCCCCATGGAACATAGAACTTGAGATATGTGAGCCTGTGCTGCTAAATACTGTTACTGTCCAGAGATACTGTGAGGGAAACAGTCAGTGCCAAGGCTGTTGGACCTGCTGGGCATCACACTGGGCAACCCAAGAGGAGTACCTTAGATTTGGGTAGGGAGTAGTTAAGTTTCAGGCTATATCCAAATAAAAGTAATGTTCTAGGCTTATAACTTTACCGTGTATGGAAGGTGATCTGGAAAAGACTTTGAGCTGGAGAAACCTGTACAGAGACCATGAAAATGTGTTTTACAAGAGGTTAAGCAAATGTAGAGAGCAAGGAGTTAACTCCTGGAATTCTTAGAACCATCTAATCATTTCTATTAAATATATATTTTAGTGCTAATACTTTTCAAGGGTTTTAGTTTTCTTCTTGTTCGATCAAATTTTGAAAGAAAGTAATTTAAGTAATCTTGAAAGAAAAGAGAGAAAATGCTTCACTGTAAGAGGAGCTAAATGACAAAGACTGTGTCTGTCCTCAATATTCTCCTACCACTGTACTCACTGTGGATGCAGCCTAGGTAGAAAGGGTCCAGGATTCATTTCCTCATCTTGTGACTTTTCAGTGTTCATTCCAATGTTGTAGTGTAATTGTATACTGGTTTTAAAATACATTGAAACTGAGGCCTATAAATCTGCATCCGCATGCCATGCTTGTGTGATGTGTGGATTTCTACCTTTTTTTTTATAGATTTTGCAGACACAAAGATCACTTTGGAATCAGAGGGCTTGTAGGAATACACGGAATAGAGGAAGTGGCTATGGCTTCTTAAGGGAAAGGAAAGTGAAAAAATGTGAAAGAAAATTGACTAGATAACACACAAGGAGTGAGGCAAAAAAGAATAAAAAACTGGATCAGGTATAACTTCATTTTCCGTCAAGTCACACCTGGAACCCGAATTGTACTTATTGACAGTTGTGCCTGTCATCAGTTCCACTGAAATAATCAAAATCCATTGGAGCGGGTTTCCATGCATTTGCAGGTGATTCATTTGAAATAAATATGATTCTATGGAGTTGTAAATTATAATTGCTTTGAGTACTTTAAAAAACAAGGCTAAATTTGAGATAAGCACTTCCTTTTCCAAGTGACTGCAAGAGTTCGGTTCCTTATGAAGTTCTTACACTTTGTGTCTGTAGTGGACAAGTTGGCAGTCAGGAGACAGGAACCACGGTCCATTCCTAAGCAGAGCCCAATGAATGCAGGCTCATTTGGCTAAGTAAAAGGACCACAGATAAGCTAAGGTTTTCTTAGCTACACAGATTGGAAGATTGTTCCATCACACACATGCGAAGGCGCTCTGATGAAATGAAGTGAGTAAAATATTGCTCCCAGGCCTTAGTAGGAGGAATTCTGCTGCTCTTCTCATCTTGCTGGTGGCGGAACGTGTGCAACATTCAGACTTGGTGTGAAATATTTGTTGCTAAATATAGCCTATTCGGAATGTATTTCCTTCAAGGGGAATGGAGTGCATAAAGAAATCAGGATCTTTTAATGTAGTGCTGTTTATGTAGTCCTAAGTTTCATTTTCATCCCTTCATGGTTTCAGTATTTAGCTGTCTGTATTACATTTTATTAGTTAATATTCTGTTCAGTTAGAAAGGGGTGGAGCCAGCACAGCTTTACTGAAGGATTTTGGATTTAGAAAATGAATAAAAGAATATTTTTTCTCATAGTATCTCATACATGGCACTCCTTTTTTATTTTTCAGTCCCACATTGGTTTCTATTTTAAATGCTGATTATAGCAGAGTATACTGTGAGAGACTTGAATTTTCTGTGGAATTAAATTTTAGCAATGATTTTCTGAGACTGAAGTTTAATGATTTCTATGAAAGAAGGAAATAAAAGCATGTATATATACATATTCTCAAAAAATATATTTGCCTAATATAAAAACAGCTCCTGATAAAACTGTTACACTTTATGGGTAATACACATGCAGTTTAAAAATATTTTTTGACGTTTTCTCTTTAACATGCTTATTCCCTGGCCATGAAACAACCTCACCGCAAGTGTCTCATGCATTTTGCATATTATATCTGTTATATAAAGCGGGATTTATGGTTATTTAATGAATCACTGTATCTGACCCCTCATTTTAGTTGCAATACTTGTAGCATTGATCCCATCTTTAAAGCTCTTTAGAGCAGAGGGAGAAAAAAAAAGCTAGCAGTAAAATGTAGATGAAGCCTCTTGATATCTGGTCTCCTATGTTTATGAGACAGTAGCAAATTATGTATTATTTTATTCTGTTGCAGCGGTTTACCTCTGCAAGCGGACAATGCAAAACAAAGCAAGGCTAGAGCTAGCAGACTATGAAGCCGTAAGTACCTGGGGAAAAATAAATTTGTTGGCCAGGCCTATTTAGCATGTAAAGTAATATTAAGCATGAAGACTATGGGCATTATGCATGAAGATTTATTAGTTATCCAGTTTTTGCCAGCATGTGGCTCCGACATAGTGCTCACGAGTCATAAATGCTGTTTGAGAGACTATAGTGAAGGCTGTCTGGGTAAGAGCTGAGATTTTGGTGCATCTCTAATCTTATTCGCCTTAGATCATCGTGCCAGGATCAGAGATAACTGTTCACAAATCTCAGATGCGCCTCAAATGTTTGAAAGTGAGTGTATCTCTACTCTGTGTAGGGTTTGAATGAAGGATCTCTAGCAACATTTTCAAAAACATTTAGTAGCTGTAGAAATATAAATATCATCCTCAAAAGGATGAACAGGAGTAAGAAGGAGTTTGCTTAGTGATGAGGATGGCACTCACTGAAGCGGGTGAGATATCTTGAATTCCATCCCTATCCCCCAGCAACTTCTGAATTTTTCATGAAAATGTCAACATAAAATTCATGAACTGTCCTAGCTGTGCTCTGAAAGCTGTCCAGCTGTGTTATTCTGACATGATAGTAGACTAGTAAGCCAAGCCTCTCAACATGCCAAATACTCCAGCCACAGCACCATGCTGACACACTTTATTGCTTCTTCTGGCACAAGCTTGCTTTTCAGTGTACTGCCCTGTGGGGTATGCATAATTTTATACGTACGTGCCTTAGAAAATTCACCTCTCTACATGTACAATTCACAAGACCTTTATAAAAGGCTCGGGTGTTAAAAACATCTCTAGAATGTATCTTCTCTACTATTTGTGATCTTTATTTTCAGTAAGTATGTCATAGAGATACTTTTGAAATACATAGAAATATAGTTAAAGTAACACTACTTGATAGGAAGTTATCAGACAATTTTTCACTTAATCTCATAGAAGTAGTTTGGAAAGGTAGTTGGGCTCTTTCTGGAGGAAGGTAGGGACCTCAGCCTTCTCCATGTCAAAAGACTGTGTGCTGCTGTCATTTAAGCTGGGGAGAGGTTAGAAAAGCTCTGTTACAGACAGTCAAGCTGTTCCAGCATCACCTCAGGAAAGAATTTTGCTAAGGTGTTGCAAATCTTCTTCCTGTTATTATATTGCAGGCTGCAGCACATACACTTTCTCTGTACAGCAGTGAAGAACTGTCATCTGCATTTTTTTTTTTTTATAATGAGGATAACTGTGGATAGTTTGGAAGACTCCTGTATTGCCAAAGCATTAATAGTTTCTCATTATTAAATTTCAAATAAATTGATATGTAGCCAGCAGTATTCACCACAAACAGTTTGTACAGAAGACTGATGGAAATTGTAGTGTTGATCATCCAATATGGAATGTACTTCTGTTATCTTTCAGCATTAAGTATTTTTGACAAGAGCGTTTCTCTGAATTGTTACAAATTGCTCAGCCAGCACCCAGTACATAAAAATGCTTCAGAAATCCCATATTCTGCTAAGGGTTGTATCCACCCTTATCACCAGAGTTTCAAACCTAAAATAGGCAGGACATTCAAAAACAGATATACCTAGTGTTCTAATCTATATGATGTCAAACAGACACTTTGTATCAGATAAATAAAGGTACATTTGCACTAGACTAGCACAGGTATCATGACTTGTATTACCTCTTTTTTTTTTTTCTTTGAGAACAGAAAGGTATGCTAAAAACTATTAAATGGTGAATAACTTGCAGCCTAACCCACTAAAATTGTGATATATTTTCAGGAGAGTTTGGCCAGGCTGCAGCGAGCATTTGCTCGGAAATGGGAGTTTATATTTATGCAAGCTGAAGCACAAGCAAAGTAAGTTCCCTTGAAGAGGAGACAAAGACAAATGAGGAGTTTGGGTTTTACTTGTTTCTCAAAGGGAGAAAGGGAGGAAAGCTTGGCTGGACTTGTCATATCTTGTGTTTAAAATTACTGTCATTAACATTTTTTCTTTTAAACATATTGCAACACTGACAGAGTGGACAAGAAAAGAGACAAGATAGAAAGGAAGATTCTTGATAGCCAGGAGCGAGCCTTCTGGGATGTCCACAGGCCAGTGGTGAGTACGTGTGTGACCATTCCGTATGCGATTGTATGTGATAAATGTCAGCGTCCTTGGAAAGCTGTAATAATTTGGGGAGAAGTAAAAGTGGGTGGTTAACCCCCTACTTTGGAGTGGAGGTTAGGGCCTACCTCCATTCTGCTGCTGAAGCCTGCAGACTAAGCTTGGGGTTTTGAGTGAATGGATTTGTTGTGGCTGACTTTTTAACTCAGAAAAAGACCTGTCTGTGAATATTACCAATTCATATGTTTCCCAATATATGAGTCACACAACCAAAATTACCAGCATAGCTAAACATATTTTAAAATAAATCTGAATATTTTTTAAATCTGATTTTTGCTCACTAAGCCTTTAAACTTCACTCTGGTCATATTTTCAAGCTTTTAAAATGTACACCAAAGTTAGATATTGTTGGCTTTGAGCTGACTAAACAAAATTTGTCAGTTTCCTGTCAAAGTCCATCTGAAATAAAATTCAAAAGAAGTAAAGGGTCTTACATAATCAACTCAGACTTTGAGAAAGAATGCCAAATGTCACAAGACTTTCAGTTAAGCTGTGAGAGCTGAAGAATGGCATTGTTTTGCTTTACTACAGAACTATATACCTCTACAGCTATAGCTATCTATTTTCCTTATAGAGAGTTAAGTTTTCATTTTCTGTATACTGAGGGTGGCATGAGTACCAATGAAACAGAGTATGAACCATAGCTCCCATTGACACTTAAGGATTCTGGGAAGTAAAGTTAGGTTGATGAGATCTGTGGAAAAGGTAGATGTAGTGAAAAACTTCCAAAGGAAATATAATAAACTTGGGCAGGATCAAGTTGCATTTGTGAATATGGAATTGGAAGAATGGTAGAAGGAATGAATTTTTAGGTAGGATTTAGAATGTCAGGTAGAGAAAATCATTTAAATGAAAGATTCAGATAGCAGGCATTACGTTCAAGAAGACTAGAAAATTAATTGTCTAGTCACTGGCATAAAATAAGGAATGAGTAGAGAAGAGAATATGCCATTTGATGTTCATGTACAAATAGAATAGATACAGAATGTTTCTAGGAATTGGAGAAATTTGAAGGCTCAAACAGCTTTTATACTAGCTGCAGGAATGGATCTAAAGGCTTTGAATCTGGTAATGAGATGCTATTTCCAGATTTGGAAGAGAAGATGAGTTGAAATTTCAAGTTAAGGGATAGGCAGAAAATAAGGAGGGAATTAAAGGGACCCAGGACAAGAAGAAATTGTATCTGTTTAAAAGCTTTGGCTGAGTTGTGGTTAAATGTGCCTGGCTCAGCAGATGTTTTTAATCTGGCTGTAGACAGACCTAGAAATATCAGAGGCAAAAGACTTTGGCTTGGAGTCAACAATCTAGGCTCCTGACATTAAGAGACAGGAACAGAAGAAAGGAGAGGGAAACAATGACATTTTGGCTAAACAGCTGCTCTTTCTAGTTAGTGAAATACTAATTTTGAAAACAGATATGATTTTACAGTCAGAGTGAGAGCCAGAAGCTTATTTTAAAACAAAGGGAAAAAAAATAAAAGAAGAGCAGGCTGAGAAGAGAAGGGTGATGCTAGAGCTAATAACCCTTTTTAATGGCTTTTTCAAGCCAAAAAAGCCCACCAAAAACTCACAGAAATATTTTTGCAAGTCTAGAGAGAAAAATTTGGAATACTAGCTAAGAATTGGATAAGAATATGGTGTTAATGGTTATTTTTATTTATTAATTTTTGACTTTTCTTAAAAGTTCAGAGATTAGGGGCAAGAACAGGGACAATGTTTTGCTCAAAATCTGTCCTAAATTCAATTTTTTAACTGCAAGTAGATTTGGAAAACCAAGTATTTTTTCCTAACTTTTTTCTTCAGGTGAGTAAACAAATATTATTCAGGGTTTTTTGCAGGTTTCCTGGTGCCTAGGTGCTTTATTTCTCACCTGGCTACAGTGCTAGTGCAGAAGCTATACTCATAGAGTATAATCTGTGAATGTTAAGTCTGTATTTGATTTCAGAAAGAGATACTTGAAAATGATGAAAATGATAGAAGAGGGAAGCAAGGAACCAGTCCCGAGGGATGGTGAAGCAGTACACTATAGGAATGGGGTGCGTGAAAAACGAATGATGGTATGACAGTGAAACCAGGAGAGTGGAAGCTGATGATTCGGGTATCAGAAATGTTGCTGTGACTGAGTTTAAAATCAAGAAAATGAGCCAGGACTTGATGTTTCAAGAGCATTTGTCTTAAATACATCTGTATTTCATAGTTGCCAAGTCAAAATCAATCCTACAGGTAGTTACAAAAGCCCCTGCAAGAGTTACTCTGTTCTCTGACGGACAGTCATCATGGCTGTTACTTTTGATCGGGTGGCTGGCTAGTGCATTACTTTTTCCAGGGTTTTCAGACTGAGATGATATTTGGAGTTGAACCAGGGAAAGTGGAATTGAGGAGGCGTTTCTTCAAATGGGGTCACCTGGGCTTAAATTTTCTGTTGAGCGGAAGTTAAGAGAATAGCTTTGCTATCTCACTATTCAGTTTCCATTTCAGTGTTTATTTTATTGTAATTTCACTATGTATTTAATTTTTTATTTTTTACGTATTTTGGTAAGATGTGGAGGATAATCTCTGTTATTTCTGTAAATTCAAGTTGATGCTTTATGTAGAAAGGCTGTAGCTTGCAACTAAAAAGAGCACGGTTGAGTGCCAGCTGTAGGTACTGACTGCAGCATTTGGAGGTATACCTGAACTAGTTTTGTTCTTACTAGCTGAGATACCAGTCACAGTAAAACCATGGATACACATGTCAGGCAGCGTTGTACAAATTGCCAAGCGATCCTAAGCAGCCAACTTAGAGTGAAGTCTATGCCATTACTTGCACAGTATAACCAGTACCTAAAATAGGTCTGAGATGAATAGTATTCGCATATAGTGACACGTTTCTTTTACATGATGGCAGAGTAAAGATATCTGAAAAGAAACAGAGTACAGAACTGAGCAAAAATTGGTTAGGAGGATTAGAGCTTTAGTCAACAAGCAGTAACAAATCAAGCAAAATCAGGGAAGTCAGTTCCTTCCAGGCAAAGAAATTAAGAAGCTGTTCTTGTTTTAAAAGAAATGCTAAACTCCTGATTAAAGTCTTTATAAAAAAACTCATAGCTTTCCTGAGTTATTATCTCAGTTTAAAACCCATAATCTGACAGTTGTGAAAACAGCACAAACAGGTACTAAAACAGTAAATCTCTTGAAACGTTCTCAAACCTACCTCAAGTACAGTGGCAGCAGAGTATCTTTATGGCTTGCTGCAGAATTAACTCTTTTAGGTAGTGAACAAGGTCAGCTGATGTATTACTGCTACAAACTATTAAATGGATTCACTTTTCTTCTTCATTTGCACATTAATGTAATTCAAATCAAGTGCAAAATACAGGCCTGTTGGATAGTTATTGAAATTCAAATTAATTCAAAAGGTAATGGGGAAAGCATCTGTATTTTCAAGAAATACAAATCTCTCTCTCGAAAACAAAACACAGTATTTGTGTGATTTAATGCGGAAAGACAACTTAGCCAGGGTGTGTACAGCTGGTAGGGACAGCTGCAGTGTAAAGGGCAAGTGTGGCTTTAAAATTAATTCACCAGTGATGTAAGATTCAGAAATATGCATGATTTCTGGATTTGGGGTTTCGTGCAAAAACCGTTGTTTTTGTTACCGTTGTTGTTGTTACCGTTTCTTTCTGTTACCTGTTGTTGTTACCTGGTTTCTTGTTACCGTTTCCCGGTAGCAAGTTAGTAAAATGTAATCTTTTCATTTTTTAAAACCTTGTCATACGTCTCACACCTTGAACTTTTCTCTCTGTTTAATTGTTTATAGGATTGTATCTCTGTTATCTAGTAGTTCCTGTTTGCATTTTAAAATTATACTCTCTGTGGTTTGAACATGACCCTCAGCCTCTGAGCCAGTATGTAAGATTGCCAGGTGTCTACAGTCAGGCAGGAGATACTTGTGGTTATTTGTTCTGGGTTTTCTTTTCTTGCTTCTAGATGCTTTTATTTTTAATGACTTTTCCATCCTGTCCTTCAAGATCCGCCTCAAAGACTTGGCAAAAAAATGAATTTAACTTGGCTGAGGTGGAGCAATCCTTCATTTCATACTTTGCATGCTACAAATCCTAGACTCTTCTGGGCCAATTAGTTGTTTAGCCACAGAACACCTCTGTCTGCTATATCATAATATTTTTGAAGTTATTAAATATCTCCAGGAAAAAAATGTGAATCATGCCATCCAACTTCTCTGCTGATATATCCACATAAAATGTCCAAGTTTTCTTTTGCACCTGTTTGTTTCATAATACATTGTTACAAGGGAGTTACCTCTCCAGGAGACAGGGAAAGCAGCCGGTGCAGCTATCGGCAGTCATCTCAGATAATTGGACTACTGGTAATGAAACAAAGCCTTGTGCAATGTGTCATTTTCAGAAAAATGGTTTAGCATTTCTGATCCATACTCGCATCTGTTTGAGACAGGTATTTATAAGCCTTATAGTTAGCCTGCTAAGTAAGGCCTTTAAGGAAGAATTTGTACTTACATTATTTAGCATTTTAATTCACTATGATACCTGAGTAGGGGTAGGATGGGTGGGGAAAGAGAAAGCTCTTCTTTTTCTCCAACAGTGCAACAAACTGAAAATGCTCAAGTGAAGATGGAGGATTATGAAGAAGTGAGAAACTGTCAAATGGCTAATTGATGAGATGATAGAAGGACACTGAAAAATGAGAGGAGATTCTTGGGTTTTATTAAGCACCAATTCAGGTCGCAAATAGACGAAGAAGCTGAAGAAGTAAAGATAAGGAAGTTCTAGAATATTTACAATGCTTATACACTGAATTTTGTTTCTGTGTGAGTTAAGTTTGCTGCTTTCATCCAAAGCATTATGCCAAGGATTTTCTCATAAGTCAGAGGCAGACAATTAATTTCTAAATGTCACCTATATTCCCCTTCATCATTTT